CCCCAAAACCCCAAAACCCCAAAACCCCAAAACCCCGTTGAGCTAAATATCTTGAGCATTAGAAAGCCAATTAAAAATACGAATTGATAAAAAGGGTAATACTTTAGAATTTTGCATATTATCGGTTGATATAAGCATACAACTTAAATTATAATTAGTATTTAAACATTGAAAATGAAAACATCATTTTTAACTATCCATTCAGTTTTGCTTAGCTCCCTCTTGTTTGCAACGGCTTATTCTACATCCCCTTTAAGATCCCATCTTAAATAGTTTAAGGACCCAAACGCCCTCTATGATTTGTAATTTCTTATATATCCTAACCTTATCAGTGAAGAAGCGGAAACTTTGAATCAAAATAAACTAGATCAGACTGATTTATTCTAAAGATAGCAGAGGAGAGTTAGATAGCCTCCAACTTTCATTGACTATCAAAAAGGGTTCTCCTAAACTCCTTATTATGACTACTTAGATAACTTCTTGCTAGGTTTGAAAATCGAGACTGATGTGCCATCTTCAAGCGAGTGTGTGGACGCATTAGTATTCTTCCTAGATGATGTTATCTACTTTCAAAATAATATCACTGCTGTTACCAACAAAATAGAGAGTTGGGAAGCTCCTCTAATGAATTTTTCCAGAATGGTTGGAGGTAACCTATCAGAAGTACCCTTTTAATGCCACTAATTTGCCATTGACTATTGGTCGTACACCAAAGATAAGTACTCTGGTTTTGCTGGCAATGTTGGAAATATTCTATTAGCTTTCTTGTTCAATCTCATGGGAAACTCTTTGAAACTAAGATAGGCCATCACAGACATTAATAATGATATCAAGAATCAATTTTATACAGACATTGCCTAATAGTATGGAAAAATCATAAGATTGATACTTGATTTTAGTGCTGATGATCTAACAGCTGCTTCCCTATCCTCATCCCAACAAGAGTCAATTTACCCTCAAAACCAAATTGTCAATCTTATCCTTGCTCAACTTGCTTATAACGTCATCCCCAATTTCATTCAGCCAATGGCAGAAAAGAAATTTAGGCTTAAAGAGGAGTCAATGCATGGAGACGGCTCATCCCTCTATTTTGATTTTGAGTAGAGATTTTAAGACTTCTAGGAGAACTGGGAATAATAGATCACTTCTGAATTGAACAAATAAATATCCAGCTTCACTGGACTTGATTAAGCAGAGCTATTAGATCTTGAGAATAATCTTTTGGCTACTTTCAATGGAGCTACTAGTGCCTTGCAAATCGGAGCTGGACTGATTAATGGTATGATTAATGTTCTGCCAACGAAAAGTTTCTTAAGGTATTGCAGAGATAATGTGACAGCTGTTTAAACCAATTACAAAACTATGGTGACTAAATTCAAAACAACAAATGATGATGCAGCTGGCTTAAGCTCACTCTCTCTTCTTATGTAAAACGTTCCAGGTATTGCATTCAACTGCTACTACTCAATAGTAGACCCAACTAACTCAGGTACAACTGAATAGTTCAGTCTTGTAAATATTGGATGGAATATTCTCTACAATCTTGGCTATATGTATTCCGATATAAAAAATTCAATAGATGTTTTCTAAACTAAAACAGACAGGTATTATGACCTAGGTAAATACATAGGAGATTTTATAATGAGATTCTTCTACAGTAGATACAATAAGAAGTGAGGATAAGGACAGTTTAAGGATGCAAGACTTAAAAAAATGAATCATACTGCATGCTAGAAATTGCAAGGAGACTTGCTACTTTTATGCTTTATGCCTAATATTATAAATTTATAAGAAACTGTATTCATAATTAATCTTTTCAATTATTTATTTTGCATTTCATGATTATAACTAACATTCGGAAACTGGGGTTTTGGGGTTTTGGGGTTTTGGGGAGATCGGAAGAGCACACGTCTGAA